CTTCTCTATCCAACATATGTAATACTTTAAACAATAAAGAAATTAAAAACAAACAAACAAATAAAATCTTCTCTATCCAGCTATGTCTTTATTCTTCCGAAGTAGGCCCTTTGGACAACTATGATGACACTGCCCTGCTCTTCATCATTTTGACATTTATCTTTGGGGGATATCTGCAAAGCCAGATTTTAAAATCCAGGGAAATTTACTAAACTTAGTCCCAGATGACTTAGGGTTGCTTCCTTTGGTAGATAGAAAAAAAAAAAAAAGAAAAAAAAAAAAAAAAAAAAAAATGACCACAATATTTTACAGGTCCTGCCATCGAGAGATGATATCTATTTCTCCAGCCCTTAAAACTGGGTTTAGTCATTTAACTTGTATTAGTTGGTGGGACATTAGCAAACATGATGCAAACAGAGGCTTGACAAGTGCTTCTTTCTGCTTTGGAGTTTGCCCTCTCTTGCTGCTGGGAAAACTTCCATCACCATGTAAACAAATCTGGGCAGCTTTCTGAAGGATCAGACGATGTGGACAGAACCCTCAATCACCCCATTCATCTCATCTGGGCACAAAGACATGTGAATAAGGCCATTCTAGAACATCCAGCCTCAGCAAGAAGTTCCATCCTGCCATTCCACAGAACCATGAGTAATGATGTTTGTAGTTTTAAGTCACTATGTTTTGGAATTGTTTGTTTTGTTTCTCAGTTCTCAGAAGACAATTAACTTTGAACCAGGCAATCTAAAGATGTTTCACTGTTCAGATGCTCTTATTCTCTCCCTTACTCTTTTGGGAGGATTTGTACTTAATCAACCATCGAACTAATAAATGAAAGCTTAATTGAGGATTGTAAAGCAATGGCCGGTGGGTAGTGGAAGTATCTGGGTGCAGTGAAATCTTTCTAGTGCCCCTGAAGGCGACTCGGTGACATAGAATGATGTAGCTTTCCTTCAGAGCACTTTTTAATTACATTGGAGTGGCTATTTTACAAAACCACAAGTTACTAGACCAGCAATTTTCAACCTTTTTCATGTAATGGCACACTAAATTAATTATTAAATTAATTAATTACTAAAATTCTGTGGCATACCAAAAAATATAGTTTTTGCTGATCTGAAAAAAATCCTATCTAATAAAGAGGGAATATGCAAGTTGACTGTCATGCCATCACAAAGATGGTGGCACCTATAGCCACAAGATGGCGGTGCCCAATCCCCTCAGCCCCACCGGAGTCCCAGTCCTTTTAGCCCTACCAGGGGGTGACAGGCACACAGTGTGACTGGACCTACCCTCAGCCTCCCAGTCCCCCAGGACCGGCCCAAGGCACAGGCAAGCCTTGGATGTCGGCTGTCCAGCTGCCCAGGGCCACCTGAGGCTTGTGCTGCCAACAGTGGCAGCAGCAAAGGTGTGATGGGGGCATCACCTTCCCCTGACCGCCAGGTTGCCTCCCATCCTTGAGGGCTCCCAGACTGAGAGGAGGCAGGCTAGGTTGAGGGGACCCCCCCTCGCCCCCCCCCCCCGCTTCCAGAGAATGAATATTCATGCACCTGGCCTCTAGTATAAATATAATTTTGATTCATGCAGACCAGATGGCTATTGCTGTGTTGGCTATTATCATTTTTTTAATTTGGCAATCTAAGGGAAAAGACCTCAATACCCCTGATTAAGTAGTCAGGTATTGGTTGCATGTGTTAAAAAATTCTTGGGGCACACAGGTTGAAAATCACTGAATTAGACTATCTAACCTTCATGAAGGCAAGGACTGTATCTAATTTGCCACTGAATGTATCCTGGTACATATCAGATACTAATTTGTTGAATGAATGCATTTGAGTTTTGCCTACTTCACATAAGGAATCCAGGCTTTCAAAAACATCACTTAGCAGTATTTGTAACCCACAGGCCTGTCTCTTGCACATACTCTTCATCGCCAGCTGTGGCAGGAAATCAGGTGAAGGCTTGGGCTGGGGAATCTAAAATCAGTGAGATCCCAGGACACTGGTTGCTGTGACTCCTCCCCCTTCTCCCAAACAGTTGGCAAACATTCTTTAAGACACTCGAGGAAACCTGATATCCAAGGAAAGAGCTTTGGGCCAGGAGCAGGGGATGTGAGTCAGATCTGGAGAACTCATATTCTGTGAATGTTATAAGGCTGCAGTCACAAAGCAATTGAGAAACCAATGTCCCAACTGAGGTTATTTAATCAACTCTGACATTTCCTGGGAGTATGTCATTACCACCATCCCATATCACCTTCATCTAAGAGACCATCTGAAGAGGAAAGTTGAAAGTGCATGAGTCAGACAGAGGTAGGTTCCAATGGTCCTAGTGGGTGACTTAGGCATATTAACGTTTCCAAGTCTTTATTTCCTTGCCTGCCAAATCCGGATGATAATATCTTAGAAACACCTCCATTAAACTATAATGATCCTTGCAGGCAGGGATCACTTGTTTTCATTTATCTTTACCTAATATTTAATAATGCCAGGCCCTTGATAAATATATAGGGAATAGGTGAATTTTCCCCCAGAGGTGATCTAAGACCTACTCCTGTCTCCATCATAAATGCACTCTCAGAGTGACGTTAGGAAATCTCCTCCCTCTCTCTCTCCACCTCAGTCTTCCTCTTTGTAAAACAGGGAGCCCGGACAAGATTTTCTCTGAGCTTTTCCTTCCATATCTAATATTTGACAAGTCTGTGACCATTCAGTACCCTCTACCTCCTTGCTTGCTTCTGGAAGTTAATAATGTTACAGACTGAGAAGACAATATGTCACGAATCACTCTGTATTTACAGATACACATGCATTTAAAACAGGTTCTATAAGTAGCTACAATACTGCATTGTACTTTTGGCCTACTTTTGTTTCTTTCAAGGTCAAAATGGTGTGTGTTTTAAATCTTCTTTTATTCGGATTTTTTTTAAAACAAGATGAAAACCAGGGCACATTGCCACTCACACACATTATGTAGCTTGAACCTTGGTGGCTAACTGTGCTATTACTGTGATTGATGAACATTGCGCTGCAATCAGGTGGAAGCTGCTGCCGTCCACTTAGCGGAAATGAGGTCACAGAGCAGGGCTGGGGAACTGCCATCTAATAAGCAGGTCTATTTTTCTGTCACCGGTAGAAGAGTCTGCCACCATCATATTTAACTCTTGATTCCATCTGTTGTAAAGACTCTTGCTCCCTTGAACCAGCTCCTGAGTTGTAAAGAATTTGACAGTTTTTAAATAAAAATTTCAATCTTCGCCTGGCTACTCAGTAAGAGAAAAAAGATTATTTGATATATGTTCTGAAATATCCAAGGTGGGGGGGGGGGGGCGGGCAAGTGAGGAGCTCAGTCTGAAATCCTAGTACTAAGGTAGATGGATGTTACTGCCCAGAAAAATAGTAATTATCCCTGACGTGTATGGGACTTGACAGTGTGAACAGCACAGCCAGAATGCCTTCCCTGGGAGGGGACCACATTCTTTCATGGTCAGAAAAGTTAGACAAGTCACATCCCCAAAATGCCCTATTGCTGGAGCAGGGAGGCTGCTTAAAGCATTGTTTGAGAGCTAGTTAAAAATTGCCTGACAGCTCAGTTGGTTAGAGTATCGTCCTGATATGCCACGGTTGTGGGTTCAATCCCCGGTCAGGGCACATACAAGAATCAACCAGTGAATGCATAAGTAAGTGGAACAAGAAATACATGTTTTGTCTCTCTCTCTATCTCTATCTCTCTCTCTCTCTCTCATACAAGAATCAACCAGTGAATGCATAAGTAAGTGGAACAAGAAATACATGTTTCCTCTCTCTCTCTCTCTCTCTCTCTCTCTCTCTCTCTCTCTCTCTCTCTCTCTCTCTCTCTCTTTCTCTCTCCCTCTCTCTCTCCCTCCCTCCCTCCCTCCCTCCCTCCCTTTCTCTCTGTAAAATCAATACAAAATAAAAATAAAGAATTGCCTGACAGAGGCAGGTGCAGGGAAAGCTGGTGCTTGAGCCAGAGAAGCAGTAGGCATCTTTTGCTCAGGCATAGGGGATCTGGTTGCTTCAGAGACTGAGTCTGCTTTCCAGAGTGTTAGACATTCATCACCTCAGATTAGTCTAAATCAGTGAGCAGTTTGTTAACAGATTAGAGACATATCTTTTCTCTAGTAGGCATGAAATCTGATGGCCTTGGAATTGAATCCTCATGTAGATCTAACATTTACTAGCTGTGTGATTTTGGCCAAGTCTCTTAATGTCTTTGGATCATAGTTTATAAGAAATGGAACACAGAATGGGGCGAAGAGCACAAACCTTGGAACCTACCACCTGGGTTTGAACCCATTTTTTTTTTATTATCATTTATTCATTTCATGACTTTAGGAAAGCTAGATAATCTCTTTATACCTTAATTTCCTCATGTTTAAATGAGGTTAGTTATAGTTCCTCCCTACAAAAATGTTGGGAAGATAAATGAGTTAATACATCTAAAGTGCTTGGAACAATGACATCAGGGTTAGCTACAATGACACTGAGGTGATAATCCTCATTCCTCGGGTTTATTTTGCAAATCAACTGAAATGATGAAGGTGAAAAAGAGTCACAGAGTTATAAGTGCCAGAAGCTATGTAAAGATTATCCAAATAATCCCCCTCACTTTCTAAGTGGGAAATCAAGACTCAGAGAAGAGGAGTATCTGGTCTGGTGTCACACTTGATTTAAGGGCAGAATCCAGGTCTCCTGATTTCAAGACCAAAGTTCTGTCCTCTGCACTGGGTCAGAAAAATCAGCATCTCCATGGGGCCAACTCTGAAAGGTCCTTATACTGGAATGCAGTCCTTGGACCTGTTGCTAGTTAATGCACTTTCCTAGGACAATGAGCTGCATCTGAAATGGAGAGAAAACTTGGAAGAGACCCTGCCCCCCCCCCCCCCCCACACACACACACCCCTCATCTATTTTTAAGCCGGCATGTTAGAGCAGGGGAAAACCCAGCTCAGACCAGGGTTGGGAGAAAACAGAAATCATCACTTAGTTCCATGTCATTGTTTCAGCTAAAAACCAAACAAGTGCAATCTCTACAAACAAGCTAGTATCATGAATTAACCCATTCAGTTTGTTTCTAGTTGTCAGAGGGTTTGGCGTGTTTTTTTTCTTCAGGTATTTAATTTAGCAGCTTCCTCCCGGAGTGGTTTCACATCCAATTTTTGGTAAACACTAAGGTTTCACTCCGGGGAGAATATATGAGGTTTTACTTTTCTTGATTTGTCTCAGGGTCGCCCCCCCCCCCCTTAGATTTACTCTGCTTTGAACCACATTTCTCAGTTGGGACCACCCAGGAGTCACTGAAAGATGGGCTGGAAGAAAGGGCAGGATGGGGAGAAGATCCTATGGACACCGGCAGAAGGAAGTAGAACTATTTGACGTAGAGAAAGGGCAGGTCCCTTTCATGAGGGATCATGACTTCTGTTCTCAAGTCACCTCAGGGTGTCGTGGGGCCGAGGGGTCAGACTCTGTGAGGTCTCTGACAGCAGAGCTACTACAAACTGAGTGAGAAAAGGAAGAGGAATTTCTAAGAGTCAGATTTCAGCTTAACACAAGGAAAACCTTCTGATTATGAGAGCTGCCCAAAGATGGTGTGAACAATGAGCTCCGGTCCCTACCAGGAATGTGTGCTTTAGGGGAAGAGATCTGGTTGTGAGGCCTGACGGCTCCTTGTCACAGATACGGATGGGAATTAACTAGTCAGACTAGGTCAAATTTGGGGTCCTCCGCACTCTAAATTTTTCATATTCTGGGAGCTTAAGAACCAAGGACCAATTCCATAGAGTTCCCACAGTTTTGAACCAGCTGGAAAGCAGCAACATCAGAAATTCATGACCTGCTTCTGTATCTTGCCCGAGTTCCTCCTTTTTTCTTTCCTGAGCTCCCTGGCTTGCTGTTTCATATAGCAGGAGCGTTTGACTTTTTTTTTTCTCAAGGGAATAAGCTTTTTCTTTAAAGTGTGTTTCTGACTCAGCCTTTGCTCCTTCAGCATCATTATGGAGCTCTCTGGAGATTAGCGCTGGCCTGTCACCACAGCAACTGCCCGGGCCCTGTGAGCATCCGTGGTAACAGACTTAGGGCTTGGAGAGCTAAGCTTGACTTTGTGGTGTGAGGGAGCTCTACAGAGGGGCCTGGTATGAAACAAGCATGTCGTGTATGGGGAGGTTTTCTTTAATAGGATTAGCTGTGCAGGTGCGCCTCACTTTACACAGTTAGCCAGGCCCTGGAAAGTGTGTGTGTGTGTGTGTGTGTGTGTGTGTAAGTTTTGGTAAATGGAGGAAATCTTATTCTAAAGGCAGGAAAGAGATTTGCTTCCTAAGTCCTTGTAGTGAATCCCCTTTGTAAAATGGAGTCTTCTTTTGTAAATCTCCGCCCGCATTGCAACCTGGCTGTTAGTCTAGCGCTGAGTGTCTGTGAGTGGGGCCATCTGCACAGAACCCCTCGGGCATGCTTCCACCTCCAAGGCAGGCAAAGGACAGCAGCAGTGCAGCTGGCGCGGGGCTGGGGTGGGCAGAGTGTAACAGGGGAAGCAGAGTGGGTGTGGGGCCACAATGAGGGGAGGTCGGGAGGGTGGGGCCTTGCCTAGCACGAGCAGTTCTGCTGCAGCAGCGGCGGGGTGTCCGAGAGACGGGTGTTCTTGGAGGCACCCAGCACGGAGGGGTCCGTGTCCAGTGAATCAGACATCTTGTCGCAAATGGCATCCACCAGGCGCTCGAAGGCCTGTCTCACACTGATATTCTCCTTGGCGCTGGCTTCAAAGAAGTCAAACCCTGCAGAGGAGAGAGATACAGATAAGGATTTTCCTTTACCTTTCATGCCCCCTGGTCAGACCACTCGGGATTAATATGGCCAGTGCTCAGGGGAGAAGCAAGGAGGCCTAATCCCAAAGACAGAATTCTGCTTCAAGGAGACAGCACAGAGCAGGGATTACCTGCACTGGCTTAGAGCCTGGCTCTACCATTGACCAGCTGGGTAACTCCCAGAAAGTCACCTCTTCTCTTCATGAATCAGTGCCCCCATTTATAAATAGGGATAAGTTTACCTACCTCATAGAATCAGTTCAAGGGACTAAACAAAATAATGAATGTGAAGTATCAATATATAGCCCTGTGCCTGACATAGAGGAGAGTCACTGGGTATATTTTCTAACAGAGTGGCTATTTCAATATGTGTGCATAGTACTCTCCAGTTTCCAAAGCATTTATCACATCCATTATCTCATTTGATCTTGATGTCATATCTGGGGGAAAGAGGGTCCAGGCAGACCCTCTCCATTTCACTAATGTAGACACTGTGGCTTAGAGAAATAAACAGACTTGCCCAAGATAAGTACTTGCCCAAGATAAGGCACCAGTATGAGAAGCAGGCTTTGGCCTTTCTGACCAGGGCTCTCCCTCCTCTTCCCCCTGCCTCCCTCTCCCCCTAGTCTGGCCAGCACTAGTCTAAGCTCTGGGAGCACCCCAAGATCCACATTGAATAAGCAGAACTCTATTTGCCTTTAACACCACTCAATGGGGTCCGTTCTTCTTGAATTCCCCTGGAATTGATTGCCCTGTATCTCTCCCTCCCCCATAAGCCTCCCCCCACTCCAACACACACACACACACACACACACACACACACACACACACACACACACACAAGGCCCTCAGAGCCGAAACCGGTTTGGCTCAATGGATAGAGCATCGGCTTGGGAACTGAAAGGTCCCGGGTTCGATTCCGGTCAAGGGCATGTACCTTGGTTGCGTGCGGGAATATCCCCAGTAGGGGGTGTGCAAGAGGCGGCTGATTAATGACTCTCTCTCATTGATGTTTCTAACTCTCTATCTCTCTCCCTTCCTCTCTGTACAAAATCAATAAAATATATTAAAAAAAAAAAAAGGCCCTCAGAAAACTGCACCTAAAGCATGGGACATTCCTGACTGTTCTGTGCCTTGAGATCTTTAATGACACTTTCTGTGACAATGAACGGGACTTGGTTGTCTTAGGAGACACAAGAAAGGTCCTCCTGATTCAGACAAAGTGGCTGCTTTTCAGCTGAGGAATCTGGGCCAGGTTGGTGGCAACCCTTGAGTCTAAGCCACTTTCTCCATCACTTCCGTGCCCTAGCCTACTCCTTCCTCTTTTATCTGTCTACCCCTTTCCCTTCCTTTGGAGTCCATCTTTATTTCTCCTCAAAAGCTTCTTTCTTCCCTTTTTTTTCCTTCTTCATTTTAGCTCTTCTTTATGTTCCTTGCACTCTTTTCTTGGGGGTCTCTAATATGCCAGACTCTATGCTAGGAGTTTTACAAATATCCTCTTACTTAATCTTCACAGCAGCCTGTTGGGTAAATAGAATCTTCTCCAATTTTTTAAAATATATTTTACTGATTTTTTACAGAGAGAAAGGGAGAGGGATAGAGCATTAGAAACATTGATGAGAGAAACATCAATCAGCTGCTCCTGCACACCCCTTACTGGGGATGTTCCTGCAACCAAGGTACATGCCCTTGATAGGAATCGAACCTGGGACTTTTCAATCTGCAGGCCCCGATGCTCTAATCCACTGAGCCAAACCGGTCAGGGCATCTTCTCCAATTTATAAATGAGAAAACAAAGGCTCCAAGAGATTATATAACTCATACAAGGTCACATGGCTGTATTAGTGGAAATTGGGTCTAGATCTGGGTTTGGCTAGCTCCCAAGTCCATACACAGCCCAGCCTCCTATTTCTTCCTATTTCTCCCTTTCACTTACCTTTTCCCCCCCGATCATATCTTTTTCTTCCTTTACAAGTATCTTTGGCCTTCTTTCCTTTTATCTGACTACCACCGTGTCTGAATCTGGGCAAGTCACTTCATCTTTTTGAATTACTTAACCTCTCTGAGTCTCAGACTCCCCATATGTCAAATAGAAATAATAACAATGTCTTCCAGCTGAGAGAGGTCGGGAGGACTGAATGAGGTGATGGATAAATTGCTGTACAAAAGTTGCCTGCTATAATGACAGCTTTTTTCTGCTCTTCTTTCATCTGCGTCTCTCCTCTCCCTCTTTTCCATCTCCCACAAAGGAGGATGGGCCCTTTCCTCTTCCCTCCTCTCCCTGTTATCCCGTTGTCTACAAAGAGGCTGAAGCCCCAGGTACAAACAAGGCTCTTCCCCCAGCCATTCCAGCTTGAAGACGCTCACAACCCCTGCCAGCCCACCTCAGCTGACAGCTTCTCCTGAGGCCCATTTCCCAACAAGCTGCAGAAGTGCAGGCTAATTTCAGCCTGTGATGAAGAAGGAGGCAGCTGCTGGCTCATTATCCTCAGGCCACAGAAACCTAGTCAGCTTCAGAGACCCTCCAGCATGTGGCTTTTCCTTAGTGAGTATCTGGACTGTGGAAAAATAGACTCTGCCTGTTGACTGGTTTATTACAAGCAACAGTGGCAGGGGAAGTGTTGGGGGTGTTGCCTGCCTAGGAAAGGAGTAAATAGATAAAGAAGTAAATAGGCTTAACCCATCAGTGTAGATGAATATGAGGACACAGGTCAAGGCCATGAGCACAGATGTCTTCTGAGGAAGTGGCACTGAGGGGGGAGGATATGCTACACTGAGCAGGTGGGCAGTGGGAAGAGGCCCAGGAGTTAGACAGCCTGGATTTGAACATATCTCAGTCAGCTACCAATTGGGTGACCATAGGCAAGTTGCCTAATCTCTCTAAGCCTGTCTTTTCATCTGTGGAATGGGGTAAATATCACATACCTCACAAGGCAGTAATGAAAATTAAACGCACAAAAGTATGTCAGTCCCTCACATGTGCATAGTCCTTACCAGTTCACAAATACAAATTTTTAAAAATGTGTTTTTATTGATTTTTTTTTTAGAGAGAGAGAGAAGGGAGAGGGAGAAAGAGACAGAAACATCTATGTGAGAGAGAAACATTGATCAGATGCCTCCTTCACACACCCAAAACTGGGGCATGCACCTGATCAGGAATTGAACCAGCAACCCTTCAGTTCACAGGACAATGCTCAACCAACTGAGCCACACCAGCCAGGGCCACAAATACAATTTAGAACAACCTTGTGAGAGGGCTAAGGTGAGACAAGGGTTATCACTTGTAATTTACAGATAGGGAAACCAAGGTTTAGAGATGGGGCATTAGCCAGGGCTCTATCCCTCCTTATATCCTCTTGTCTTGCTCTCTATTGGAACAGTGATAGAACACACTAGAACATTTCTAACCCAGGTAGAGAAAACCAGAGGCTGTGCCGGAATGGAGTGGAGGGAGAAAGTGGAGGGAAGGAAAGGGGGTGGAAGCCTCCAAAAGTTAGTGGGAATAGGAGCCTTTAAGGCCAGTACTGAGCAAAACTCTTCACCCAACTAACTTCTCCTTTTTAGGACCCAGCTTAGACAGGCCTCTTCATTCTCCTTGTGCTTCCTCTGCCATAGCACATGTCACCCTGCATGGAGAAGTCCATTTGACAAGGAGCTCTCAATCAGGGACCATGTCATTCATCTGCACATCTGCACCAGTTGGAGTAGGTGCTTACTAAATACTGGTAGAATGATCAGATGAATGAAGGAGGTGGGAATGAGCATGGAGGATGTGCATGAGGAGATGTGGACAGTATGGGGGTCATATGAACTCAGCTCAATGAGCATGGCAGATCCTGTGCTGGGCAATGGGGACACTGAGGTGAATCAGAAACAGTTCCTACCCTTAAGGAGCTCCTTAGTGTGGGAGAGACATAGTGACAATATTACAGTGATAAAAGCTGGAATGGTGAGAAGCCAGGCAATTGTCAGGGCACAAAGTTATTTAAAGGAGCCTGGGGGCCAGGGAAGGCTTCTTGGAGAAGCTGATTCCTAACAAGGTATCAGCTAAATAAAGACACATGATTGTGAGTGTCTGTGTGAGCACATGCATGTACAGCACACAGGGGAAAAGGTATGAGCACAGACAATGGGGCAAAAAACAGCCTTGGTTTATGCTGGAATGACCATAGTAGTCTGTTATCATTAGAGCAGAAAGCTCCAAGTGGTGAGAGATGAGGTGGTAGGTGGTCAAACATGGAGACCTTGTATGTCATGCCAAGACTTGTCTCCACCATCATCTCAAAGGTACCGGCGGTATGAGAACTCTGATTCCAGTAACCAGCTCATGGGCCTAGCCAGCTCTTTTGCTAGCAAAACAAGTCCAGATGCACCCCCATCTAATTACTGTCAGTCTCCTGGAAGGTTCTTCATTCGTAAGCCCAGTTGGTAACCTTTTCCTCAGGTTCATTAGTAAGGATTCTCAGGAGCTGAGAATCTAGCGAGGTCATGAAGATGACAACTGATTAATCAGACTAAACTCCAGTCCTTTCCTCCCTCTAATTGGCTTCAAAACAATGGGATTTCTGCTGTCTTTAATAGGTCCCAATTCTTAATTGACTATGATTCCCTTCACCCCAAAATGATTGTTTTCCCTTCCAGTCCAAAGGCAGCTGTCACAGACCCACAGACCATGTCCACACTTCCTGCTTCTGAATTTGACTTCAGAATTCTATTCAGAAACTTGCAACCTACTAAACTCATCCCTCCGTCCTGACGCTTCCCCAGAACCTTTATCCTTCACTTATATGTTCAAATCCCTTCTCCATCCTTTTCTGATACCTCTTTATCTCCATTATGTGTCAATCTTCAACTTACCGCTCTGATCCCTGATGATTTTGGCAAGGGATTCAATGTCTTCTTTTCCATGCAGGGTTGTTCTCATTCTCAGGAACTTTTGGTTTCATGTGGATAACCCATCCAACACCCTG